GCTCTACACCATCCCATTCAACCTGATAGCCGAGTATCAACGGGAAGAAGAGGTATGTGCGCTGTTAGACATGTAGAAATGTTTTCAAAGGATTAAAAAAAAACATCATGCTCAAACAAACAATCAGAAACACAGAGAACAACACAAAAATCTGTTTTTAATGAATTTCTGATTAATTTGAATGTAAACTGATGTAGTTCCTAACTTTCACTATAAGTACTTTATAAGTACTATAAGTATAACTCTTAACCAACACAAGCAACACATACAGTACAGGAGGAGCCTGATCTCTCACTGTGATTGGTCAAAATGTCAGAAAAAAACAGACTTAATATAAACCGCTCATTCAGAATGATTAGGCCCAGAATGATTCACAACAATCACTGAAAGAGGGATAGTAAACACTATAACACTTTGTGATCTTAACAAAAGCCATTTAAAATGAGTATAAAGAAATCATTTCAGCTGTCCTATTCAATAAAGACAAAAAGGCCCCAAAAAATAATAACTGAAAAACACAAACGAGGCAGCTTACATTTGTTGTTATGAAGTAAAGAAGAGTACACAAACTTTATTTACAAGTTACTGTAACACCCCAGTCAACCAAAAAGTTGCAAAATCTAACAAGAAAGAAAGTGTCATCGTGATTTGGGAGGACACGTTGAACTCGGCGTTTCGGTCGCGTATAAAATCAAATGTTCCTTTTAATAAATACATCCTGTCAGTTTCTGCTTTATACGACAGGTGGAGTGATGAGAGACAGCAGGTGTATATTCTTAAACAAGCCCAGCACAATTAAAAATGTTTGTAAGAAACTTTACAGAAAAACAAACTTTGCTTATAATTAATGAACTTGGCAACCATGGTCAGTTTTTAAATAAAGACAGTTAGATGATAGATTAATCACTTCTGTGCAAAGCAGACAGATGGTCCATTTCTATGATTGTTGTAAACACCAGACTGTATCTTACCTCATCTCATGAAAACAAACAATCTGAATCTTCAATTTAATTCATTTTATCAGCAGGAACAAAAAAGGTTTCCATCTAAAACACGTCTTTTTAGCGTCAATCAAAGTTCCAAAAGCCCCATATCCCAGCTTTAAATCCCTTAAATCTGTTAAATCTGTAAAATCTTAAACGAAGGGAAGTAAAAATGCTAAATATTTGTTGCTTCCTATTTTTGGAATGTGTGCATTAAACACTTAACCCTTTCATTCATACAGTATGCCTTCATTTAGGTTTTGGGAGTGTTGATCATAAAAAACAAGACCAAAATAGACGTACCTTAAAAAATAAAAGCATGATTTTATTAAATAATTACTAGCAATTAATCAAATAAATAATCAGCTGATTAATAGATACTAAATAGATTAATAATAGTAATCAATATTTAAAGTTTCAATCGGTTACAGCCCAAATTTGCAGCTGTTTCCCCCCTTGTGCCGGATTTTAACATTGAAAGCTGAACAAAGGGAATGAATCAGCTTTGTACTCGGACAATGAGCTGCTAAAAATGTGTCAGTGCTGGGAATGAAAGGTTTCATTTGAAGAGATACTAAAGCGATTTAAAGCAATTTAGTGTTTAAAGTTCAGAAGAGAGGCGGAGGAGAAAATAGACTCTGTCAGTCACACCATCAGGTTCAGTCCACACTTCCAGTTTCTGAAAATCACACAGTTTCTGTCGAGCATTTGAAGTCCGAATATTACGCTTAGATGGGAACATCTGTCCAGAGCCACAAAGACTTAATTCAATACTTTTCTCACACTTACCTATTTTGTAGACTTAGATGACATCCATGAGGAGAATTGGTTAAGTGTCCCTGTCATTAAATGTGGAGCTCAGTGCCACAGCAGAGTGGGTATGATGTAACACTACAGTGTTTAAGCAGGAAATTTGACATGTAGTTTCATTAGAACGGTATTACGTAAGTTAATAATGGTTCAATAAACAAATTGTTAGTAGAGAAGTGACATGCTCAAACTTAACTTTGACTATACATCAGATACGCTTAAGATCATATTTACCATGCATAATTCCCACAGCTTGTAAAGTATAAATATAACTTGGCATATTGCTCTTTTCCAGACTTGAATTTGTTTACACAGCTTTTGATTCCTTTCTGCTTTTGCATATCCCCCCCCCCCCCCCCCCCCCCCCCCCCCGTTCTTATCGCTCTGCACACTTCCCACTGTGCTTCCAGGAACAAATGAAGCTACAGGGAAATTATGAAGGGCCGCGAGGCACCGGCGTGGACTGCGCTGCGCTCACCTGCATGGTCCAGCTGGCACAGATTATTGTTGGGGCGGGGCTTGGCGCTCTGGTCAACATGGCAGGAAGTGTAATTGTGGTGGTTGTGTCGGCGTCGACCATGTCCCTGTTAGGCTGCATCTTTATTGCACTCTTTATTAAATATGTAGATTGATTCTGCTCGTATGAATTATTTTAATGGTTTTCTTTTAATAAATTGAAATTCTTTATTATATCATTAAATGTCTTTGATTCCTGTGCTTCACTTAATTTCATGTTTGTGACCATTTGATTGGCGTTGACTCTTTGTGGGGGACAAAGCAAAATGTAATTAATTGTCAGTTAAAACATCATATTCGATCAATCTTTGGCCCTGAAAGACAAAGTCAAAATTAAAATCCAAGCCTGTCTTAGCAAACATTAGAAATGACCAAAATCTAACATCAAACTTAATGTTTGAAGATACAAAATGTGTCTTAAAAGTTAAATGGCTCATTCATGTCTGGTGGCTGGTTTTCAGGTTATATGTATGACCGTCCCATTCTTGTGGAAATCACAGGAAAGCCTGGAAAGAATGTCTTTTAATTAGGACTCGGGTATTAATTGAATGGAACACACACTGTGGCCATTTTCCTCCGACTTCAGGCTCAAGGTGGGATACTCAAATGCTGTTATAATATCATACTGCTGGTGTTTCAGGCATTCTTTAAACCCTTCAGCTTGAAGCCCCTGGAAGCGGAGGCCAATTGTTTTTCCGGGCTTCCAGTGAAAATTAACGCTCAGAGATGAAGGACCTCTGGGCAAACTTCCTTTCACCTGGGTGACCATGGTTTTCAGTCCGACTGGTTACTTGAAAAGCGAGAATGGATTGGCGTTCAGAAAAAGCGACTAAAAGAGTTTTTTTCTCAGCATTTGCATACAGTAGGCCTAAACATATGACATTGATTAAAGCCAAATCATCATTTGATGACTGCTGGTGGGCTGCGGGTTTGCCTTGCAGTGGATTGTGTTCCATCCCACAGACTCTAAACAGCCGAGGCCTGCTGAAACACTAGTGAATGATTGTTCTGGGACTACAGATGGAAACCAGAATTATTCAAATACCAAATTTGGTCCTGCACCCATTTCCAGAGTCTGTACATAGAGATTATGTTCCAAGGAATTACAATATAAGGAATGATGTTGAGGTGTATTCTGTTATTTTCCTGATTTTTGTCTATCCAAGCTTTTTGTAAACATCTGTTTTTAAAGTCAATAACGTTTTTATTATTATTATTGAGGAATAAATCGATAAATCCAGAAGAACAACAGACCATATGTTTTAAATTCCAACAGTTGACAACCCATTAGCTATTGTCAGACATCAGTTAGTATGTATGCCTTTCCTAGCTTTCTTTAACTAGACTGTATTGAAGACCATCTGTTAGATAGAAATAGGCTTGAAGCTAACATGAACTTTGATAGTGTTACATGATACATTAAAAAAGGCCTAAATTCCCAGCTAATGGTAATGATAACTAGCAAAGTGATGGGATAAGAATGGGAATAAAACCTTGGTTATTATGTCTTGTTTCTAAATTGGCATGCATGGGTCACTCCCACAGTCCAAAGACTTAATCATTCATTGCCCATAGGTGTGAGTGTTTTCTCTCTATGTCAGCCCTGTGGGTGACTGGTGACCAGTCCAATGTGTATCAGGGTGCAACCCGTCTCTCATGCTGGGATGACAGCTGGGATAGCCTCCATCCACACATAGCCCAAACACGATAAGCAGTGTAGATAATGGTATGATCTGCCGGGATGTTGAGACTTGAATAATATTAAGTTGATGTAAGTCCTACACAGGAAAAAGGGACCAATGTGGAATAGCTCTCCCATTTATTTTAAACATTGCAATTTACATTTAAGGATCAAAGTAAAAAAAAAAAAAAAAAAAAACATTTATTTTTATTTTGCTTCTCAAAACTCTGTTTGTGCTCCAAGGCTGTGCAAGGAGTTAGACAATAAGATCCTTACTTGTCAAATGTTGTTTTTATTCTCGTCTGTCAATCATACTTTACTGACATCCACAGAAAACGATCACAGCGTCTGAGGCAACCATAAATATGTCTTCAAGATTTCACAGGTAGTGTCAGACCTGTTTTAATATGCAAATGTATTTTTTTAATGTAAATCACCAAGTTTGGCACACAACGAAAACCTTCTGCAGAACATCTTGAAAAAAACAAACCGTTTCCAAGCATGCAAAAGCACATCAAAGAGTCTCCATGTGCACCCTGGGAGATCAACAGATATAGCCTATTCGTTAATTTCTTTGGGCTGAGGCTACACCTTATGAATATGTAATCAGGATTTCGATTCTTTTCATTTTATCTCCCCAGAAGCAGACTTTACTAACAGCTGAAATGCTTTGCTGTACCGTTTTAAAGCACAGGCCCTGGGGCAATTAGCTATTTATTTTATTTTATTTAAATTAGCCTGCCGGCATGTGCATGAAGTTTGTCAATTTGCGTATATCTGCTTCATGAAAAATAAATTGTAGTATTTATCTCAGAATGTTGTTTTTCATTATGGTTTCAGCAGACTTCTGAGTCATTCTCTTTATGCGCCCTGTTCCCCTCTCTCTGTCTCTCTCTCTCTCTCTTACACACACACATGCACACACACGCAGGCACACGCAGGCACACACATGCACACACGCACAGTACATGCACATGCACACACACGCAGAGCACTTTGAAGCAAAAGAAAAAAAGATTAATTAATTTACTTTAGTGTTGTTCTGGAAAAAGATCTAATTAAATGAAAAGTTTAATTAAATCTTGCACTTGGATTTGATCTTTAAGGTAAAATTTAAGTTAGTGCAAAATCCCATTTAATATTAAAAAAAACGTATACTGATCTAGATGCCTCGGGCTGCAAAATATCAAAATGAACTTTCTCCTTTGGGCAGAAACATACAAAATACAAAAAAAATAAATACAGAAATTTGTGGAAAATGTAATTTTCAAATTAGTTTCAATTATTTTCATTTATTTCAATTATTCTCGGAAACTCGGAGGGAAAAAAGTAGCCCAAGTTCAGATCCAATATGTCTGCTGTGCATCGAAAGGGATGTTTAAGATGCAACTGTTGAGTTTATTAGCAGCTTAGTCGTCTTTTTGTGTAATTAAATCAATCAGACCGATGGTATCGTGCAAGTTCTCTCTGTGGAGGTGTTTTCACTTCGGTCAGAAACTATCATGTAGTGTGTTGTTACAGTCTGGCATTAGCTAACAAAACAAAAGTTCTCCTGGACGCGTCCATGTTGCTTTTCCAATTTGCAACCGGAACGCAGTTTACTCGGGTGTGACGTCATTCCCAGCTCCGACTTCCCAGTTCTGAGCTAAATGGAACGCGGCACATAGGAGTTTACTGTGTTGCCTATCTGTAGAAATGAAAATCACATTTGTTCGTCAGAATTAATTTAGGTTTTGTACTTTGTTTTTAAGGAGTCCTTATGGGTTATTTAAAATTCCTTTGTGCTTAGTTGTTATACAACTTTTTAAACTCATCTTTAGTAGGCTGCTCACTTGACATTTATGGCTTGTTTGGTCTTTGTGCTTGAAAACTAATTAATGTGAATAGCATAGGATATAGCCTTAAAAACAAAGTAACTAATTTGCATTAAAACAATGCCTCATAAATCTCTGCCAAACACTAGAGACTCTGAATAGTTATAAATAACTTTGCAGTTAGGAGCTCTCATTCAATAAAGAATGCAGAAACTCATTACTGTTTTGTAAGATTATGATTCAGGACAGTTTTTAAACTCATTTGAACAGCACAGTAATGTTTAATATGCGTTTCCTTTAATTAAAGTGTTAAAAGAACTTGCCAAAGTTAATCTAAAGTTCTTTTATTTATTATTTATTTGCCATTATCCAGTAGTCTCTTTTCACCTGAAGCTCATTTGGAGCTATTATATAGCCTGATCGTTCTCAAGGACAGAGGCTGATGATGCATTATAATAAAAACAGCAGACTTTTACTTGTTCAACAACCAACTCACAAGATCACATGTGTTCTTTTGAACTCCTCTGTACAAAAAAAAAAGGGAACATCAAGTTTCTCACATAGGTGTTCATGCAATTTACTGCATGTGAACATATTCTGGACAGGTTTATCATGCGAAATACGTTTTGTATTCTGATTTGATGCACACATATATACAAAATATACAAATTATTCCATAGTATTTCACTCCGCGATAATAAATGAAGCAATTAGCAAAAACAAAAACAAAAACAATGAAGATTAAAACAAAACAAAAAACAACTGTCTAATTGCTGTTTGGCAGATCCCTGTCCCTGTCGTTGTACATCACAGCCCCCGGGGGGTAAAACACCACTTTGTGCTCCTCGGGCGCGCTGACCCGGGCCAGCACGTGCCTCTGCTCGTCCATCTCGTGCTTCGTGGTGGCTGTGATCGGTCGTATGTTCGGCGAGGTCATCCTCCAGAAGAGTTTCCTCAGCGCTTTCCTGAACTCCCGCCTCATCAGGCAGTACAGCACGGGGTTCAGACAGCTGTTTGAGTGCGCGAGGCACACGGAAACGGGGAAAATGTACACCTGCGTGGTGTAGTACTCATAGGTGAAATGAACCACGTTGAGTTTGATGAGGATGCCCCACACTGTGAGCGCCTGGTTGGGCAACCAGCAAAGGAAAAAGGATAAAACCACAATGGTGACAGATTTGGTGATTTTTGCGCGCCGTTTTGCGCTCGACGTGTTGATGTTTTTGGACGTGATGAAGCGCAGGAGAAGCAGATAGCAGACTGAGATGATTCCCAGCGGCACCACGAATCCCAGCAGCACCTTCTGAGAGTGGTAGAGTCCCAGCCAGAGCTGCGCGCTTCCGTTTGTTTCCGGGAATTTGACGAGGCACAAGTCCTCGTTCGAAACGGTCACGGTGGTGGTGAAAACCGCGTGCGGCAAAGCGGCGGACACAGCGGCAAACCAGATGAAAACCGTGATGCACCGCGCGGCGCAGCACCGCGGGCGCCGCCTCCTGCCTTTGAGCGCAGTAGCGAGGGACCAGTACCGCGCCACGCTCATGGCAGTGAGGAAAAACACGCTGGCGTACATGTTCATGGCGGTCACATAGGACACTATTTTGCACATCGCTTTGCCGAAAAGCCACGTGAAGTCCAGCGCGTTCTCCACCGCCCAAAACGGCAGAGTCAGCACGAACTGAAAGTCAGTCACCGCCAAGCTAGTGACGAAAAGGTTGATGGAGGACTTTTTCCACATGTGTTTAGTCTTCATTAAATACAGGACCAGTAAGTTCCCAATCAGACCCAGCGCGCAGACCAGCGAGTAAATAACAGAGATGATAACACGCACAACAGCGGCGCCGTCTCCCGCAAGATCCGTCTTTGCAAAGTCTGACAGGTGGAAGAAGTCTCCGTACGAGAGGTTCAGCGTGTTGGAAACACCGCTGAAGTTGAAGGTTGCGGCATCGATCCCTGCTGAGCCATCGTAATGAATGTCCGTAGAGTCTCCTGACATTTCAAATTGAATCCCACTTGATTTTTACTCACTACTTTTTACTTTTTCCCCCGAAATCCAAATTGCTTCCCTTATTGGAGAGAAATCCTTAGAAGTGTGTTCTTGCGCCAGCTTCCATGTTTATTGCAACAAAAAAAAATATTGCTTCATAAATATGCAATGAGAAGCTTTTCTGTTACAAGGTTGCGGTGTATCCGTGAGAGGTGACAGAGCTCCTCCTCAGGTCTCCGTGTTGCTTTGAGAATTCCTCCTCCAGCTCTTTGACCGTGGGCTGCTGACGCTCATTCGCTCAGGCGCAATCTGGCACTGTCCTTGGTCCTGAGTAGATGCAAAGTGGCAAAAGAAGAAGAAGAAGAAGCTTATTTTAAATCAAGGGAACCTTTTAAACATATTACATTTAACTAGGTGAAAACAAATGAATTGAAACCGGAATTTCATAGTTTGACTAGAGACTTTCTGTGTTCCTTTTTGAAAGAGAAAGAGAGAGAGAAAAAAACATAAACAAAAATAGGTATTAATAATTGTATTAATGTTTTTCTATACAGCTTTGGCAATAATACAACTGATTTATTCATGACAGCAAATCATATATAAACTTGATCTAGAGAGAGAGAGAGAGAGAGAGAGAGAGGTAATGCTCATATTGTAACTTGTTTTGGATTCAACCATCTATTTCTTCATATTGCATCCACTTTACTGTGACTAAGAGTTTGAAGCACAGATGAAACTGTTCACGTGGAGATTCAGATGACAAAGAGATTTTTTTTTTTTATCAGAATGAGGATGAACTGAAGAATAGAGAGAGAGAGGATGGTGGTCATTATGACTAGAGACTGGAAATCGCTGAAAAACAGAGGTGAAATAGAGTTCATTAGATTATAAGTAGATTGCCACTCTCTGTTTGGATCTATTAGAGTCATTACAGTGAAATAATTGTCATTATGCCAGGCATGCGAGAGTGATCCATGGCAGTACACAACACACCCTCTTGCATGTTCTGTTTGCCTTCATTTAAGGACACAGTGAAGCATTGCACAGGCGTCTTCCTCAGCAGTGCATCAAACGTGGATCCTCTGCACTTGAATACATTTGTCGTCAGTGATCCATGTGCTCCAGTACTTTCTTTAGATTCTTCCTGTGTGACGGAGTCCTTTGATTTGCTTTTAACAAAAAGAAAATAATAGTTTGAGTGAGAGGAACAGATGAAGAGGTGAATTTTTCTGTATCACGTTGAAGAAATGGTGTCATAAAAAAAAAAAAAAAAAGCTGACACAGGATGACAAAGAAACCAAATCTGTCTTTATTCATCCTGTCAGCGGGGCTTGAACTCCATCAGCACTGATGTGTTTGGTCCCTGAAACATTTTCCATTTAATAATGAGGGGATAATGTAGGATATGGACCAAAAAAAAAAACCTCATTAGTAATATAGAAGATTCCATAAGCAGAACTATCTCGACCATCTTAGACAGAAAGGCAACAACTAGGATTGAAACAACAGCTTTAAATGCATGGGAAGTGATGAACAGATAACGTAATGAAGCCGTTTAATTAAGTGCATCGAGATCGTATCAGTCGCTAATACACTCCATGCACTGACTCCAGTCACAGTAGACAAACGTCACCCCACCCTCCCATTGGTTGGAGGTGAATTATCTGGAGAGTCTCCTGCTGCTCGGACTAGCTGCGGGAAAAAATGATAGGGGGCTGGCAGGAGAGCGATGGAGAGAGGTTGAAGTCCAGGCGAAGAATCTGACTGTTTGCGTTCACACATACAGATCTGATATGGCAAATATCAGGAGTTTTTCAGGAGTTTTCTGCAAGTGTGAAAGCCCTATAAGATACAAAGTCGGCTGCAGCCTGGCTGAGCAACATCAAAACTCTTTCACGATAATTTGTGGAGGACAGTCTTAAGATGATGTGTTGTAACTTTGCTGTTAGTCATGTAAACGATGGTGGGAGTAGCAATTGCAGCTCTGAGCAAGAAAACCAAACGTAGCAGGAAAAATCTCTGCTATAACTGTTATATGTTCCAATTTAGACTTGCCTACCTGCCATCCCAATATTGGCTTACCAATTCTTTTACTTCCGGAGGAAATCCTCACATGACAGCTGCTGCTATGTCCTGAACAGATTTACAGAGTAACACAGATAGTAGCAACTTCCAACATCCACACCGCTTGCCCTCACCTCCTAAAATCTCTTCATGTTCCTCGGCAATAAAATGAATTTGGCTGACATGGAAGAATCGCTTAGATTTCTTACTTCACTAAAAGTTACTAAAATAAATGAAGTATAATAAGTAATATTTCCCTCATAAAATATGGTGGAGTAGATGTAAAGTAATGTAAAGTAAATACACTGAAATAGAGAGGAAGTACTTCCAGTTGTGAGGTTTTGTTGTTGTAGGTCTTCTCCTGACCTCTAGTGGTCGTCATGCGAACTACAATAAATTCCATACAAATTGATTTGAACAGGAGGAGATTGAAAACACAAACAACGCCAGAATAAATCTCCATGTTTGTTTTCCGATAATGCTGATTTGTGCCCCCCTGTGTACTGCAATCTCCACCAGCCTGACTGTTTGGTAGTCATAGCACAGCTGTTAGTGCCAGCAGCCTGCACACATACCACAGAACAGATGGAGCCGTTAGCATTCAGTGTGAAAACTCTACTGGATGAACCCTGCTGTCACATCAATATGTCACCCAAAGTCTAATATCCACAAGAAGTCCACTGATGTGGATAAAGGTGATCCAAAATCACTAGTCTCGGTTTATAAATTAGTTTTTATAGTGTCTATTATCCACTGTAGCAGCGTGTCTGGTATCTGTGTCTTATCAGTCCATGCAGACACACCCCTCATATAGAAACTCTTGGATTCCACAGCTGCCACGCTTCTGAAGACAGCCGGGGACACAGGTCACCTGAAATTAGGTCAAAGATCTGAACACCTTCATTGTTAACAAAGCACAAAATAGATCCCCTAAAAACACAAAACCTTTAGGCAGGTGTTAGCTGGTGAAATTCATGAAAACAAGATTTTTAAAAAGTACAGATTAGCTTAGTTTTAAAGTGTCCTTGGTACAGCTTTTGAAACTTGCCTACAAATAAAGTGACAAAAGCCAGAAAGAAGTCAGAAAGGTCTCTGCAGGTGGAAAATAAATAAATGCAAACATCTCTGTTTTGTTCTCTTAAGTGCCAACTTTGGCGACAAGCAGTAACTGCAGGATTTTTTTCCCAAGATTTTATTTTTGACATTTGCCTTTATTTGAAAGGACAGTTGATAGAGATAGGAAAAACAGAAAAAAGAGTGGGGATCACACACAACAAGGGGCTGCTTATTTAATCAAACTCGTGGCCGTTGCATCCCATACTGCCCCTCTGTAGGGCGCACGCTATCTAACCAAAGAGCTAAACTTATAACTCTTGCAATAATAATTACACATAACTGTGCGCCACTTTAGATTTTAAGCTGGAGAGATGACTCTCAATGAAGTCACCAATTTGTTTCTGAAGCTAACTTTTGAAGCCCATTGATGGTGATCGCCATATTGGAAATACTGTCTACTACCTAACTTTCCGACAACCTATAACAGGCAAAGAGCTGGAGATGAGGTGAGCCTTAAGCCTCCTGACAAACAGCTATAACACCCGCCCGTCAGTCAGAGCTACCACACCTCTTATTATGAATAACTTCTATCCTTCATAAAATCTAAATGAATGAGTTATAAAAAATATGACAGTGTGAGCCGTCAAAGACAAAGGCTACTCCTACCAAAGTCATTTTTGTACCAGGCTGTAAACACAATTATTTCTGCTGTCAAAGTGTCCATTTTAATTGGGGGTTTGTAATGTGACTTCTGGGTCTTGTGGAGCCAACTCTTACGTTGACCCTCCAACAGCTGCAGTTTATTGTACTTCCACATTGGCTTCATTTTTCAACCCCATAGGTTGCTGTTTGTTTAGTCAACAGGCCACAGTTGGAGTTACCACTCTGCCAAGATATTTGGTGTTACCTTTGAAAAAACTAACTGTTGTTGAACCTGAGGGGTCCCTGGAGCTCCTTTGAGAACAATAATGTAACATTTCCCCAAAGGTATTTTGAGGATTTCACTTTCAAACAATCTCATGGAGATGATGTATACCTGCACTCATCACTTGTTAAATGGTACAATGGTAAATCCTCGTAATTACTCATTGACTGCCCAGCACTTTAAAGACTGGTATTTAAACAGTGTTATAATCAAGGACAGAATCAGATACCAGAATGAACTTGTTACGAAAGGATTCAATCACATTATGTCAGAGGACAGTGCTGTATTATGACCCCTGCAGCATCACACTTCTGACAACAGTTTGTAGTTTAGGTCAAGAGCAATAAAACTGTTACCAAAGATCATTGTCATGAATAGAGCAAGCTGGTAACTTCATCTGAACACGTCTAAAGCTCTTGTTAATGTTATTGGTACCATTCATAGTAGTAGTAGTAGTAGTAGTAGTAGTAGTAGTAGTAGTTAGTTTAAATCTGAATCTGATAATCTCTAACAGTATCACAGAGCTTTATCTTTAAGGGAGACTGTCAGCAGTGGTGAACTGATTGAGCCTGTGCTGATCTCCTATTAGTCTGAGTGCATGTTGAACACCAGTTTATGGACAAAACCTCGTAAATGTGAGTAACTTTTCAAGTGAAATGCTTCGTAATGAAGAATATTTGTATTATTTTGATAGTATCTGTGACTTTTTCTGTTGAATTTTTGGACGTATAATACACTTATTGATGGGGCCATACAAACAGAACGTACAGACTCCTGACTCTCTTCACTCTACATTTAAATTTAATCTTCAGAAAGATACACATTAAAAGCCCAGTGAAAGGCTGGCAGTTCACTGTCTTGTACAGTGGAACACTTTCTTCACTGGAGCCTTCAGTTCACACACAGGATCGGCTGTTCTGCCTCTTAAACTCGGACGCTGCATGCTCGGCTCCAAATTTACAGTTCAAAAAAGCCTCCTGCACAAGTTCTCCTTGTACTCCTCTGAACTCTGGAGTCCAGAAATGCACCATTTAGTATATAGAAGGCTCTTCTTGCATTGCTAATGTTGATGAGTAACAATATTCTGCGTGAGATTACATGAATACATAGCTTTGGAAAGAGGAATACATTAAGATAACTCTTGATTTGTGATGTGGATTTTCAAAATATTGTACATTTGTGAGCAAAACCAGCAGTAAACGTAGAAACAATATGACACAAAGATGCAGCTTAAACAGCATTCTTTAGCTTCTGGCGCTTGTTAGATGTCATTTTACTACACACTAAATGATTTATTTAAGTCTTACCCAAAGAAAGCATGGTGTTTAGTATCATTACCCAGTCCCATTCCTCTCATTTTCAGTGTCAGTGTGTCTCACATGCTCTCTAATAACCTGATCAACTGTTATCACCAGCTGCCAGCTGCTGCCACAGCTTTTTCCAACATAGCAACAATTCATTTAGCACTATGCAATGCTAACTCAATGGCTCCATGCCATTGGAGGGGAAAAAAACTCCCCTGGCAGGACCAACCAGCTGAAAACATGTCTCCAGACTTTGTTTATCGTAAATCCAGGAAGGCATCGTCTTTGTTTCCGACGCTTAATCAAACATCCAGACAAGGCTGCCCTGCAAACGCCTGTGCTTCTGCTTGATCTAAGACAGCAGGATACAAACTTTATCCAGAAGTGTCCATCCTTCCAGCAGGCTTCAGTTAGGTCCAGCAGAGAAGGGACTCCTATAGCACACTGCTGTCACGTGAGACAAAAGGCAGCAGCTGTCACATTGAAGGACAAAATCCCTGGTGTGAAAACAGTCCACAGACTTGGTCGTACACATGCTCCCACTCGTGCACTTCTCAAACAGCGTCAGTTTGTGGTGGTTCTGTTGAGTCTAAGGTTGTGTGTGCTGCGCTTGAGCCCATCATGCTGACTTTCTCCTTCCCGTTCCTTGGTTCTTCCCTTCGTCTTCTCCTCCGCCAACATTTGCACCTGGGCCTGCGACTGACAGAAATAGCAAAACCAGTTAGACTCATGCCTCTATTCTAAAATTACAAAACTTTGGGAAAACACTTCTCTGAAGTCACATGAGAAATTGAAATGGTAGGAATAGTTACAGTACATTTTACACATTGGTAATTCCCATTATTGGTGTTATTGATAGACAATAGCTTACTGTGAACAAAAGCAGATGAACACAATCAGAAGAATGAGCAGAATGAGCGCTGCGATGATGGCGACAATTATGATTTGTCGCTTTTCTCCTATACGCCAGTCCAGGTCCACATATTCACACCTGGAACCAACATAACCATACGTACACCTGGAAGAAAAGCAAGAGAAAGTTACTTTTATGACTTTTGTTTTTTAAATGATTTGATGAGAATATTCCTTGCAGCCATCTGTCAGCCTGTATGCTTCTCAGAATATACTAGGACTTAACATCCAAAACACATTTTAATGAGGAACATAGAGTTCAGACAATTAATAAAGAATGTTCTGTAGAATTTATCCGCTCTGTTTTCATTTGCTTCCCTGCCAAGCTCCTTAGTTTGACTTCCTTAGTTTGACTGTGTCTCTATTTTCTCTAATTCCTCCATCTGTTTTTAAATCAATGTCTCTCACCTGCAAGAAGGGGTCTTCTGTTCTTTGATGTAACGACAGTCCCCGTGGACGCAGTAGAATGTAAGCTCCTCGGGACATTTGGAGAAGTGGCCGTGGAAGTGCTCATCTGTGTTTGCTGGAAGATTAGATGAAAACTTTTAGAAATTCTTGCTGTGCATGGACACTTCGTTATAAACGAGCATTTCATCATCTAAAGTTAGGTTTCAAGGTTTTCAAGCTACATCAAATTGACAATTATTTACACTCAAATAATTAGCTTTAAAGGACTCATTAGATGTTTCCAAAAGTATTATATGTGTTTTAATTTATTTTGTTTGTTGAGAAGATCAATAAAACTTTGATGTCTTTCAGTTTACAGCTATCAGTAGATTAGCTTAGCCTAGGTTACTGTGAAGTTCAGCATAAGAAAATAAGCCTGGTGCCATCTGAAGGTTAAAAAAAAACCAACTACATGCACCATTTAAGCTCATAAACCCATGCTTTGGCCATCTGTTTCCCAGTTTTTATGATAAGCTACAGGTAAGCCATCTTCTGGCAGTAACTACATATTTACTGTTCAGACATATTCAAATGTTAATGTTGTTGTCGCCTAACTTTCATCGTTAAAATTTAGGAGCTTACTTTCAAATGTCTATTTCTGTAACTGTGTCACGTTCTGTCATCCTGCCTCTTTGACTGACACGCTCACCTTCTGGCATGGTCTGATGTATATAAATAGACTGTTTGCAATATGATCCAGAGACAAACCCTGATGAATCAGTGCTAGGAAAAGCCTAGTGTCATCAAAGTCTCATTAACCACGTGCCTCAATTATTACCTTTCTTTATAAGATGAAATACGTGCTTACGCGGGATAGAGTTTAGGTATCGTTCCCATTCTTCATGCCTGTGTCTTCCCCTTTATCTCTCTAACTTGAAAAACAAATACACACTGAAACACCCCAACACAACTGCTAGTAGGTCATACTGCTGAACTTCTGAACCAGTGTCACATAGCGCTTCTCAAACTAGAAGCTGCCGCTATCTTTACAACCCATTCACATGAAATTATCTTAGAAAATGAGCTTGTTAAAGAATACTGCGTCTCAGGTGACATCAATGGGAGCGCCTCAGTTGTTTGGTGAAACATGAGTGTCCGCTTGCTGCCATGACCACAGCGTTGTAAAGAAAAAATATCCAGTTACAAAGTTCAAAGGAATACTATGTTTGATATGTTTATTTGCTACCTTGATGAAAGTTAGCTAAGATAATAGATTTGACATCACCCTCGTGCCTGTTTGCTAACCTCTGGATTTACCTAAAAGTTGGTTACTTTAGCTTAGCTTAACAGGAGAACAGCTAGCATGAAATGGAAAGACCCAAGAGCACACTAGCTAACTTATTAATATGTATTTTAGTTTTATTACTGTTTATTACAATTACTGACTCACATGTATCCTTGTATTTGTTCTGCCTAGCTTTACTAGCCTGCTTCTTACTGTAACAGCTAGCGCATTAGATGGTTAGTTTAGTTGTATTTTCTATTAAGCATTATGATAACAGCTAATAAATCAATTGTTAATTGAAAATAAAAAAGTTTATGTTTATTGTTAAATAGAATATCGCGTTATGCCGATAAGGAAAAGCCTCAGTCGAAAATATCACTTATAAATGTAGTATTTGTACACAGTGAGTCAAAATAATGTTCTAAAATGAAGCACTTCGCAGTGTTTCAAGTTAAGAGGATGGAATATAAACAGGTTTGCAGGTTTTATTGTAGCATAAATTCACCATAGAGTTAGTTGACACTGCCTCTCTGTGGAGTCGCTAACAACCTCCTGATAAGTTCAGACCTCCTTATTTCTCCTCTTGCTCTGGACAGCCAGTAATGTGACTCCTCTACGTAACCTCTATTTCTGTCCTTTCTTCCTCATATTTTTAGGCATAGGTGTCTTTAAATGACTATATAAACATCTCTGCTTTTCAAACCTTTCCATTAAACCTCCACCCTTAAACTTCAAAGCAACATTTACAACCCCACAATGTACCGCCTCCTTCCCCCAACTTTCCATATCTACCTGTGCAATTGTCTCTGTCGCCATGGTGATGACAGTCTGACACGGTGCTGTTGGCAGACTCCACGGTGACATTCCACTCTGCCAGAGAGCATTTGCACAAAGCTAGAGCTGCAGCCAGGAACACAAACAGAAAGACAATTACAGCAACTCACAAAAAAAAAAAATACATGCACGTGTGCAATGCGCTAACCATCTATGACGACATTCTAACCTGGGTGAAGGACCTGCGTATAAGCGATGATAGGTTAATAACCTACAATCACAATCAGGTATTGGTGAAATGCTGCTGAGTCATGATGCCAGCCAGGCTTTCAGAGTCGGAGATTGGTGATTTTTGGTGTTCACGGCCACTCCTGTCTCTAACACACACTTTTACTTCTCTAAACAAAACTATATTATCAAGTCAGCCTCAGAGCTGTTTGATTACAATAAAGTTCACTACAGACTGTATTCACCTAAAGGAGATTCCACATTATCAAACAAGTCTGTTTTGACAAGGATTAGTATTTATAGAGGCTATAATGGATTCTTCATTCAATCATTAACCAACACTGAAGTCTACGGTACAAATAGTTTTCAAGAGGGAGAACACTGTCCTCGAACCGGCTTGAGCTGCATTGCTTCAAAGGCACATGGTTATTGAAAAAGTGTGCCAACAATTAAAACAATAGACATGAGTCATGCAACGACATTTTTAACCTGTAGTTCTTTTGAGAAGAAAATGACAAAAAAAAACTATAATTATATGTAAACATCCCTTTTTAAAATGTCAAACTGAGACTGAAAAACTCTTATGTTGAGGAAGACCTTCAGTTTGTAGGAAAGGTTAACACAGATTCAAGAAATAAAAAAAAGATTTTAAAAACAGTCACCTTACCTGTAATTATTCCTACATAGAGTCTGTACACCTTGGCCATCTCTTTACTTGAGAAAATCGCTCATCCAATAAACGAAAGTGAAGTTTCATTGACAAGTCCAAGTGAAACTGGATCAATCCTTCCTCAGAGGTCATTGACCTTTGAAAAAGGTGTGGACAAGCTACGCGGGTTCCCAAGTGATGTCTCGTACCGTGGTCCTTCATTGATGGCGGTGAAGTTCATAGTCATCCAGAAAATCTTGAGGCTATGACCGATTCTCTCTCTCTCACACACACACACACACACACACACACTTCTTAAAGTGCTTCACTGGTCTGGACTGCACTTCAGTGTGTGTGTGTGAGTGTGAGTAAGTGTTTATGTGTGTGTGAGAATAGAAAAAAAAAGGGGATGGCCTGAAACCCAACTCTGCTCTCTGCTGCCCGCCCACACCTTTAAAGGAGAATACCACTCCATTCAAGCTATGCAGGTTGTTTTCCTTGTTGAAGATCAACTGCACCTTTATGCCTGCCTTTCCTTGTTCCCAAAGAATAAAGTGATAGGTGTGGGACTCATTGGGAAGAATAACAACCAGTTTCCAGGCAAACCACTTCAGAATACATTTACAATTTTCGTTGCACGTTGTTTTAGATGCTTATAATATGTATGAACAGAGTTTTACACGATCCCTAAATCAACAGAAAGGAGATAAACGTAGGAATACTCTGACAGAATCAGACTCTCTTACTCTCTGCATCAACATCTGGAACATGTGGCGTTAACTGACTTTAAGTGGGTAAATCAACTAAAAGGAAAATGTGTGTGTATGTCCAGTTGGATACAGCTCATAATTGTATTCAACTTTTCTTAAATACTTAATTTCATAGCACTCTATTTCTGAGGGAAGTCTTGTCTCACTTCACTGTCTTTTTTCTGCAAGTAATGTCTTGCAGGAAGTCGCCCAATCAAAAAAAAAAAAAAGACGTAGTTGGATTTTGACATTGTTGAATAGTGTGAGGTTTAGGAATTTGTAACATTAGCTAATGTATCAGTTTCATGTGATATCATCATCTGCTTTGTCCCTGAAAGAAAGGTCACCAAAATAAAATACACAGTAACTTTTAATGAGATCACGTGTTTGTCCATGTTAAACCATTGTGGAAACATTTGACATAATGTAATTGTACTCGCCAAAATATATTAAGATCTTATTGTTTTTGAGATCTGATATGGAAATGCTACTCGGTATTTGTTTAAGACCTTGCAAAAAAAAAAAAAAATGGAAACAGCCACTGGCAACACTGGCTCTTCTGCTTTAAAAAGTCTATAATGTTATTCCCAGGAATGACCAGTAGATGGCACAAGTTGACACTTTACCTTTAAGGTGCGTCTATGCCCTGGATCATATCCCTGGTATCAATCCACTTTCATTTCTGATTTGACTCTCTTTGTTTATCCAGCCCTTTAACATGGACAACAAGCAGCTGACATACAGTTAATGTTATAAATAAAACATCCTGTTTCTGCCTCTCATACCTTTCCTATGATTAAATGTGCACATGAGTGACAGGCTGCTCATTTAAGAGAAGAACTAAGGAAATAATAAAACAATGTGTGCTGGTTGTGCCAGTAATGATCAAGCAAGGAAAGAATGTTAAAAAAAAAAATGCTCTTTGAAACTTATGCAGGACATAAAAACGGCACAGAGATAAACAGGAAGTCAAGTATGGTATGTCTATCTGGATGTATATGATCTGTTCATCAGGGATGCACAGTAGGCTACAACACGCGCACAAACTTGTTTTCAGGCTGCAAATTTCCAATCATAATCTCAAACCCACAGCTCAAACCACAAACCTCTGAATCGTTGCTGAGAGTGTGACTGTGAAAAGTGCTCCTTTCTGTCCTTCACTAAGGAGAGAGGCCACATGAACTCCTGCAGGACAATCTGCAGCTCACCATGATTATAGGGGAACTGGGGGATTGTGCAATAAGCATCAAATCCCTGATCTCGCTGAACTCTGGTCTAAATTATCAAGTCTGTCTGACTTTGGATAGATGCTGTAAGAAGCTGTTGCATTTTTAACCGCACCCAAAAAACGTTCTCAGGGCTACTGACTCACCCTGGCGTCTACTTTTACATCATGGATTCAAGGTTGGAGTGTAAGTGCTCTTGAATAATCAGAATCCAGTTGACTATTAGTTTTTATAATAGTTCTAATCATTTTTGAAAAGATATTGACTGGACAGTTGGACTATAGTGAACAAATAAACAAACCCGAAAGATATGATTTATATTTTACCATATTTTATGTCAAATATTGGCCTGTATGAGCATTGTTCAGGGGTGTATCCAGCCCTTATTGTTGACATTGTCCCAACTGCAGCACAGACTTGCATATAAATGAATATCATCTATTTACTCTTTCCATCTCAACTAATATTTAGTTTCCTACATTGGAGTGTCATACAAATGTTGGATTCCTGTGTATAATTTCCTAACTTTAAAAAGTAACAAAATAGAGATGCAACATACAGTATGAATTTTCTAAACTTAATTCTGAAGGACTCAAAAAGAAGACGAAGTTACAATTTACAATACAAAAACAAAACTCCTGCATAGTCTAACTGTCATAAAATATATTTGGCACATTTCAACACAGAAACGTTGCCAGTCAATGTTTTTTGTTTTTTTGTGTGCTTGAGTTTGCTTGCAGTTTATAGCGGATGCACCCTTCTGGACACGCCCCTGGCACTGCGGTTAAATTTGAATTCCAGAAAATATTTGATGGTTTACATAAGTAAAAGGTTTATTGTCTTTAAAATTAGGTTTCGTTTGGTACAACTAAAAAACTAAATTACACTTAAAGCTTTTTTTAGTGGGGCAAACTTTGAAATCTCGTCTCTCCTCATTCTGATCTGGAACCTGACAAAAGATTGAAAATCTGATGCCTTTCATGTTGCTTTCTAGTTAACAAAGGTGGTAAGGAAAGGAGGCATCTAAAGCTATTGAGACTCATCCATGAGCAGTGTTCAGAGAGGAAAAGGAAGTGACAAAGTAGAGAACGCCTGACTGGCTAGACATGTTAAGAGCTGATCTAGACTGGTTCTGGTGTAAAAGTCAACCTTTTTCAAATGCACATGTTCCCTTTTATACAGAATATGTACAAACAACATATAAGAAAAACGGAATGAAATGACTAAATCCACTAAAATAAAACATGATTCATAATATCCTCTTTATAAAATATGATGATTCACATTTGTTTCCAACTCAGCAAAGCTGTGAGCTTGTTAATCCATTTCAAAAATTCTTCAAAATCTTAAACGAGAATGAAAGTGTTGCCTCCATGTAGAGTGTGTTTGGAGTTGAACAGGAAGACTCGGTTTCCTCTCTCTGGCTGCGCTCCTAACTTAGACTGAACATCAGGAAGCTCTGACTCCAACAGATTCCAAGGCAAGATTTAGAGCGCCCTGCTATAAACATCCGCTCTCTGTAATGCATATGATCTTTTTCCAATTAGACAGCATTAGCTTTCAAAAGTTAATGAAATAAAGAACAAGTGGATTAAGGCGATACAGTTGTGTTGAACAAGACATTTATTTGAACAAAAAGTGTAAAACTTAATGTGTTTTTCTTAATGAAATTAACATCCAATGTAAAAGGTCACAAAGACTGAGATGCTGTTTCCACTTCTTCTTCCTCTGTAAAAAAAAAAAGAAAAAAAAAGTCGATCTATTTATATCTCATTTGAAATCCTGCTGCTGTAAAGGTGTTCAAAAACAAATAAAAGGCAGTAAACTTAGCGGACTCTGACCTTCACACCACAGCACAGGAGCGTGGTTCTCTGAAAGGGTTGCTGCCTGTGGGGACTCCCACCAGCAGGGCGTCTTTGCTCGCGTTCTGCAGACAGTACTGCTGCAGCTCTGCAGCCGCCTGAGACACCTGGGAGCACAAACACAAAGTAGTTGTACTCACACATGTACCTCCTTCAAGGTGAGCCACATGTGTGAAGGCAAGCGGCCAATACTTTCACCCTGACTTTACCCTGACTTCTTTCCTGAAAATCCCCTAATCAAATTTCCATGTGAAGTCAGGGTGAGACAATGTGTGAACGCAGCATGAAATATTTAGGAAGAGCAGGCGGGGGTGATGAAGTCAATATCCTGTGACCAGCGAGCAACTGGTGTCATCACTGTTCATGTCAAGAAGCTGCTTCATACTCTTCAGAACATACTACTGACCACTCATTGGTTAATTCTGTTGATACGTCCAATCACACACACTGTAGCATTGATTCAAAGGCAAAAAATGACATCAAAGCGAAAAAAGAAAGAAAATTTACTAAACATACATGTAAAAAAAACTACTAGCAGCCTGTTGCAACACACTGAATAGTTAATCTGAACTTAAATTCTGCCTCTAATAGGGCAAATAGCCAATCATAGTTTGGGATTTTGGAGGTGGCCAATTCAAGGGGGGCCTATGCCACCCCTGTCCAACCCTCTAGACACACCCCTGTGGAACACAGTGTTAGAAAGTAATAGAACAAATCCCTAATGTGACAAATGTTAATTTACTCTTGGTTGATTAGTTTTAGGCTACATCCTTGGTTAAGGTGGAGTAATGGTCTAGAACAAAACAAGTATTTATGAGATAGTATAAAATGATCAGGTTGTTAAAAGACAAGTAGGTGTCATATAAACTTAAATACTCCGTACAGTTATAGCAGATATTAAAGCATGTGTTGAAAATGTGCTGACTATAAAACTGTTGCTTTGTGATTTTTTAGTAGTTATATTTCACTGAAATAATAAACTTCTACTAACAATGACAACAAAACTGAAACTCCCTCATGTTCTTTCTATCCTCTTTTGTCTGTCTTTTCGCTTTACCTTGATTCTCTCCACGCTTGCCTCCAGCTTCAGTTGTTCCACCAGGCGTCTCATGTTGGAGAGATTAGAATTAGAGGTCATGTTTGGTGAAAAATTGTTTTGGGAGAAAGTAATTCCTTTCAAGAAGCTTCCCTTCGGTCTTTCAACACAGGCGCTGACTCTGCTAATGGGCAGAGAACGCTGGTGAAGGAAGGGCGGCCGAGTTTCCTTCCAAAGACCTCAGTCCACTCAGACGAAGAAACAAGGAGAGATAGAAGCACACTGAACTCCAAATGTACTCGATTCACACATTCAGTTCACATATGTAGACATTTGATTTTGACTTAGTTTTTAGTTATTACATTTGAACTTGAAATGCTCTTTTTGTATGTTACTTTTTGTGCTGAAAAAAAAAAGACAGGGTGGGAAAAGAAGGAGAAAGATTTAGGGAGAGATGAAGGAAATGAGGGAGGACACAAGGAGATAGAAGAAGTTTCTCACTTTTTCTCTCTTGGT